CCGCAGTGGTGGGGGGGTGTGTTTTGTTTTTTTTTGGGGGGGGGGGGGGGGGGATGGCTGGCGTTAAGCTTTAAAATACATTTTGATTAAATATTATCTTTAGTTTTTTTGAAACATAACAGAGCCACAGTTCTCAGTACTGGTCACAGGGCAAATGATCCAGATGTGATGACCGTATGTTTAGAGAGACCAACAGCAGTATCCATTGTAGTGGCCTTGTGTAAATCACAAACCAATATCAGGCTATTTTGGGGTACTAATCATCGGACACTGTTAGGCATATTGCAGTAGCTTTTGAGTAGTAGGAACAAAGGGTCAGGTGTCCTGCTAAAGAAATAAAGGTAGAGAAATAAACCTTGGGTTGGACTAGAAGGTTTTGAGATGAATGAGGGAGTATGGGGAGCTGGGCAAGTTGTGGAGATGGTCTTACTTTACATAGTTAGTCTGGTTGAAAAAAGGCACAAGTCCATCGAGGACATTAGAGGAAGTAATATGATTGTACGTGTTAAAGATTGTGGACCAAAATGTAACAAGCCCTGGACAGCTCCACCAGAATTTGTAATATTGTGTCTGTGTGAGTGTTACATCTCCAACAGACTTCAGAGACACAAGGTAAGTTCCATTGCAACTGGCGGAGACAAACATAATATTTGTTAAATATTTTTAGCTAAAGTTAAAGTTCCTCTCTTGTATGTGACTAGGTGATTAGAGTGCACACCCCAGTTCTCTTTCTCATTCTGTCACATGCCATGCTAGATGATAGTTAGGGGAAGGGATATCATTTTGTATGCAGAAAATTCCAAAGCATTTTATATAATGGACATTTGTGCTGTAGGGTGTTATAGAAGTCCCTGAGTTGAAGATAAGCCAACCAATGTCCCAAGGAGTGAGCTAGGTCTTTGATGTCTTGCAGTGTATGTAAGCCTTTGGGTGTGTGCTAAAATTATGTGATATGTTTTATGAATTATGTGCTGTACACACTTGTGTAATAGTTTACCATAGAGCACTCCCCAGGTTCAGAGTGATGTCACAAATTCTGGTGGCCAGTCTCTGAAATTATGTTTTTGGTATTTTTTTTGGAATTCTGTAACATGAATCCTGTGACATGTTCTTCTGGCACTTGGATCTATATTGTGGCACTTCCCTTGTGTTTTGTTTTAGTTAGTCGCAAACTACCCTCCAATTTTCTGAACTGAGGCACAACCTTTGGTGTGAACCTGTTCCCTGTAATTAGCTTTCTGTGTTTTGACTTTACATATCTTGATATGTAACATTTACTACATTAAACTTTTTTTCACTTCTCTGTTGCCTGTGTACTGTTTTAGTTTTTTTGGAGCGTACTACCTAGTTTGAGTGCAGTGCCACAACCTGTGGATGTGACCCAGTCTCTCTTAATACACCTAATGATCAGATCAGCAGACTAGGGGTCGAAACAATTATTGAATCTACCAATAATTGGGACCAATATTCACAATATTTTAATGTATTGGTCTTAAATTAACGGACATTACCAATATTGACAGGGAAGGGGAGCCAGTGCAGCCCCATGGCCAGCCCCCGCACCATTCATCTACCGGCGGCTAGATTCTGCTGCCGGCAGCTGAATGTAAACAGCAGACAGTGGGTGTTGCAAAAGCTAGTCTGCTTTTGCAGCAGACAGTGGGTGTTGCAAAAGCTAGTCTGCTTTTGTCTATTTCAAATTCCAATAGCCAGAAGCAGGCTGGTTATTGCACCTGCCCACTACCTGCTGTCAATCAGTAGAGGAGTGGACCCAAGAGAGAACTTTCTTCTCTGCTGGTAGGGGTCGACCAATATAAGGCCCACTGCCTGCTGTTTTTTCATTCAGCTGCTGGCTGTGGAATCTTGCAGCTAGCAGATGAACATTCAGCCCTGTAACTGCGATGTGTGTTCATCTGCTGGGGCAAGATTCCGCAGCTGGATGTAAACAGAATATCGGTACCTGCTATCGCTTATCGGCCTGAAAGGTGGTCCATAATCGGTATTGGTTTTGAGAAAAAAAAAATCAATCAACTCCCTACAGCAGACTGCAACAATCTTTTACTTTTTAAAATCCCTGCCTTTTTTACTGGGGTTATTGTTCAGCCTGAGGAAGATCAATGCTGACATCATCCATTAGGGTCAGTGTTGCACATACTGCCTCTCTTCTCCTCTTTTTCTTCTTATCGCATTGTCCACAACTACTGCTGTTGAAGCACATTGTGGATCACATGTTCTCCGGCCTTTTACACTGCCTGTCTTTATTTTCCTGGTCGCCTCCGGCTCTCTACCATGCTCACTAGCTCCTGCTGTCTGGATTTGTAAGTACACCCCACTCTGGGTCAGTTGTTTTTCCATTACCTGGTGCAACATGTCTGTTGCAAGATATTCAGAGGACAGTCCTGCTGTAGTAAGTA